TGCAATATGCGTGGATACCCGGATATAACATCTATGGAGAAACATGTTCAGGAAAAGAGACAGGAAATGTCTCAGACACATCATCAACTTCACAGGCAATCTTTTTCAGCAGTCACTACCATGAAAGTGCTGTAGTGAAGTCAAATTGTGAAGAGGGTTGGATTGAAAAGTATCATCCTAGCTCAGAAACCAAAGACAACTTGCCACCAAATGAAATTCCTCAAGAGACGTGCAGTGTTCAAAGCATTGAAGCATGCTCTAACAAAGAGGAGTTGAGGGAGGATCACAGAATGGAATTTGATCAGAGTCCTGGACTTCCATTGACCACAGAGAATGGCAAAGGCACCATTACCAATGGCAACCTGATCAATGAATTGCAAGAGGAAGTCATATTCTACCAGGATCAATGTCATGAACTAAGAGAAGAATTAATAAAATTGAAAGAGAAGTTGAAGCTCTGTGAAGAGGAGAAACAAGGTCTTCAAGCTGACGTAGGAAGACAGTTGTTTCTAGAAAGCAAAGAAAGACGATGCAGGGAAAAGGTTTATCAACCCCCCAGCAAACATGCCAGTGGAATGAGTAAGCCTGTTGGCGTTAGAGGTGCATCCCATGACTTTTCAGGTATAGATGCTAAGCTGCTTGGTGGTGCAGATCCTTTACACAAAGCAGATAAATAATATTTTTGAATGAATACTGTGGCTATTTTGCTCCAGATATGATTCATATAAACTGCATGTTACTCTACTACAAATTTGCACTATTGACGTACATTACTTATCATGTCCAAAAGATGATCACCAGAGAACATGCTGGATTGGTAAAGATCATGGCTTTCTGTCTTCATCTTTCAATAAGGCTCCTCAAAAGGCAGATGTTACACAATCTGGAACTTTGTCATATAGCCATTTATTCAGTATGTCAAGTTATAACAGTTCTAAAACTTGGTACTGTACCTTTATTTAGAAATTCCATTACAATAAAAAAGGCTCTCAAAATTTGACCTTTCTTGGGATAAGTATACATGCATGCATTATAGTATTCCAAGAAGGTATTGATACAAATGAGAAAAATACCTGCATTTCTAAGAGTTACCTCACATTTATCTTGTTTGCGTTTTCTTTAATTTGCAGGTTTCTTGCTTCAACAAAGACTTCAGGAGATCTCACATTCCTTATCAGAATTGGAACTGAACAGAATCAAGAATCTTGTCCGACCCATACTGGATAACTGTAGACTTGCCAGGATCAGGGAGTTTTCAAAGTTGTTGGAGGAATTAGAAAGAAGAGGGGAGTTTTCCTGTTCCTTTGTTAGAGATCTTCTAGAAAGAATCCATCGATTTGATCTTGTAGAGAAACTTGCTGAACCTTTTCACAATGGTGAAGAATCATGTGTAAAGGAATCTTATTCACCTCAAGAAAGCAAACAACTGAATGAAGTGGTGGAAAGTGTTTCTGGTGTCAACAGTAAACAATGTGATGAAGTGGAAGAAGGGAAAGAAATATTTCACAACACTGAAGTTGATGAAGAGGACGAAGTATGCAACAATTCTAACATAAACTCATTTAACAGTGATAGTGAGGGAGCTTCTGTCACTTTTCCTGCGAAGAATGTGAATGAATCAAGTTTTGTTGGAGGTGTGGATTTGTCAGAGGAGAGATATGACTCAGCCTCGAGCTTGTCACAGTCATTTGATGTGCCAAGTATTGGATTGGAATCCCGAGAGAGGTCTTGGTCACCTTCATTTACAAGTAAACAATTTGATGGTGAAAAGCTGAAAGGAGCATGTGCTGCAAATGGCAAAAGGGACAAAGAAAGTGCACATGATTCCTCTTTTCCTCATGGTGCAGAGACACAATTTTATTTCAATCATCACTTTAATGACACTGTATATGGTGCAGCTAATTTACCAGATAGAGCCCAAGATAGTTTAAAGCAAGAATACTTAACTAGTGTGAATCAAGATTCTCTTCCTAATGGAGACACAACTCAGAGGCAAAATGTTTCAGGTGCAAGGTTCATTGTGCAAAAGGACACAGCAACAGATCATTCTGACTCTCGTGTGAGCAATCAGTCAAACGAATGGGAGCATTTAGGGGCCAGGCTGCAAGATGGGACTTTTTCATCTTTACCAAGAGATGAACTTTTTCATTCAGGGTTCACTGGTTCAGGATTGACCTCTGATTTCATGCAGCCCACAGGATTTCAAATAGGTGCTTTAAACACATTGGATTCCAGTTTATCAATACATGACTATGCTCTTGGTACAAGAGAGCCTCAAATACCACCGGATGGGTATTTTACAAGTTTGCAAATTAATCAACCAATTCACTTCAATGGTTCAGGCTTCACTTCTGACTTGACAGGGTCCACAAGGCCTGAACTGACACATTCTGCAACTGGTACACATAGAGACAGTGACTTTAGTGGCAGTGCATCAATGTTGCCTTCAACAAGAAATTCTGGATTATCAGTAAGTTCATCAGTTTGCAAGCAAACCTATGGTTTCCCTCCAGATGCTTCCTCAACTTCATCTTCAGGAGCAAGGGTTAATGGATCTGACGGTAGGCTTTTTTCAGAATCAGAGTCAAGTAGAGTTAGTCAGTTATTGCCGGTCACAACAGGTAGGGATGGTTTGAATACATCTGAAGAGGTTAACTCTAGTAGCAATGCAATGAATGCATCTGATGATCATTTGGCTTCTGGACACTATAGAGAAGGAAGCAGGGCCTATAATTCTTCAAGCTCTCACATGATATCTGGTACTGATACAGGGGAAAATCAATCTGGCCAAACTGAAGATTTAGTCACAAACAGAAACTATGGCACAGAGTCAGTGGAGTCTACAGATAACTCCCTGCTTGAATTGGAACAGCGTGTTGAAGAGGCTTGTGCAATGGTGGAAAGAGTGCTGAGGGAGAGAGAAGAAAGAGAAGAGTTTGGCCGAGAAATTGAAAGAAAAGAGCGTGAAATTCGAGCAGAAAGGGCACGAAAGAAGAGAGAAAGAGAAGCAAGGGAGCTAGAGGAAGCCAGAGGATGGCCTCAACAGCAGGAACCAGTTACTGGACAGTCTTTGTGGCTTTGTGAGCATTACCAACGTCATTGTAGAGTACGTTTCCCTTGCTGTAACAACTTCTATTCATGCCACCGTTGCCATAACAATTCCAAGGAATGTGACAATGAGGAAGCTAAAGCAAGTCATGCAACTCACCTTAAATGCAACTACTGTTATCATGAACAAGAGGTGATGAAAGGTTTTTAGTTATGTTGTAAATTATAGTTTTGAGAATTGCCGTATTTTTTTATTGGGAGTGATAGAAAACATACAGGGAGGAGATTCTGTCCTTTTTCCGGGTAATTTTTGTCAACTGTTTTGGTGAGTTATTAATTACAATACACTCTCTACTGTTGCAAACTCACTTTGCACATGTTTGCACAATTTTAGTGGCCATTTAAATAAAAATTAAGCGAAACAAATCTCACTGCAAAATCAAATACCAAAGTGTTTTTTTTCTTTCCATGGCAATTACACTGTCCACAGGTTGGAGTACTAGAGCACTTATTTATCTGTCTGATAAATGAGGCAGTCCATGTTAAGAACTTTGTGATTGTAATTCCCATTAACTTGGTCTGTAAGACTTATGATTTTCCAAATCATTTTCTTTCAGATTGGTGAAGACAGTGTCAAGTGTCGTAGCTGTAAAGCAAAGATGTCAGCATACTTCTGCGCTATTTGTAAACACTTCACCAGCATTGACAAAAATCCATACCACTGTAAAAAATGTGGAATATGCCGGTAACTGATCTGACAAAGTTTTCAGTTTATAAAAACTTTGCTGTTGTGTTTTCCATAGCTTTTTATGTTTTGAAGCCACATAAGCTTTTTTGAAGGCTTGGAGGTCAACTTTTCTCAAAAGTCCTCTTTTTAGCAACCTTCAAGTGTAGAATTATAGAATGGTCACCAGAAAGTAAACACTTAAACAACTCACATTTTGCCCAAATCTTTTTTTTTTTTTTTTTTTCCCCTTTCAATTTTACCTCTTAGCCAGCTTTACAAAATTGATTTCTCTACCACTTAAAGCAGGACATTGGTCTTATTATGCCATGTTTTCTTGTAGCATACATAAAGACAAATCATTCCATTGTGAAGTATGCAATGTCTGTCATGACAAACGCCTTCAAGGAAAGCACAAGTGCAGACCAGACTGTGGTCATGATGAATGCTGTATCTGTTTAAAGGTGAGCTAGTAAACTTCAAAATATTTAAGCATTGGTTTCTTAATCATTTTTATTATAATTGTTATTGTTACTGTTATTGATATCTTCTCAACAATTTTCCTTTCCACTTCTTTTCCAATTAGTAAATTATCCCACTCTGTATGTGTAACACTGTGTTCTTTCCAAACTAATGTATCAAAAATCACTTTCACATAAGCTATGTTCTTTGGTGAGTAATTTATAACAATACACTCTCTACTGTTGCAAACTCACTTTTTCCAGAATCACTATTTGACAATCTATGTAAAATCTCAAAATGGTTGCCATTAATTTAGTTGCCATTTAAAAAAAAAGCAAAACAAATCCCGCTGCAAAGGTAAGACTTGTGGCCACAAAGGGGCAACAATGTCTCAAGGCAATAAGAAGACCTTTCATGTGTCAGAAGGTAAGAGAATGTTTTTGAGTGATGAGTAGCACAATCACCATGCCCATAGGGGGTTGACTGCAAACTTTCAATGATTTCTTCTGTTTTACATTTTCATTGAAGCCAAATCTTTGTTTACAGGTAAAGTTGTTCTTATTGATTATAGTAAAAGCAAAAAATCAGAAAATCACATTACTGTCTTTGAGAAAATACCCGTGAAAGATGAAAAATCGAGCCAATTTTAGTTGTAACGCGTAACACAATCTCAGTGGTAAAATTTTTTAAATACATTTTTCACTAAAAAGAAAGCTCGTTTGAGCAAACAAATTACACCTAATGATAACACACAATAAACACTACATTTGAGCAAAACTTTGACATTTCAAGTTTATTAAAACGCATAGAAAAGATTCATCATTCTTAAGTATCCTTTGTGTAACGCTGGGTTTCAGAATTTGGAAGTACACCAAGTTGTTGTCCGCAGAATGACTGAACTGGAATCCTGAGGGAACAAAAACACATTAACCAAATGCTCATACTTGTTGTTCTAAAATAGCGAAAAATCAGTCGAAAGGATTGACTATAAACGGAGAAATATCAGTGTAAAACAGTCGCTACGGTTTTGTAAAACCTGATTACGCAATAATATTTTTCATCAACTTACCTGCTCCTTTGCTACTATACTTCAAACACGGCAAAGTCGGATTTCGAAATCGATTACACTTTAATGCTCATAAGTTTCTCTTGTCATTTCCAAGTTTTCAGGTCCATATCTTTAGAAACGGCCAAAATATTCACTTTTGACCAAGTCGCTACGCTTTTTACCATGTTGATACCATATTGAGAACGGAGTCTCGCCACAAATGCCACCAAAAGCGCTATGAAATCTGCTGTTTGCTCCGCCATTTTCGCCATTTTCATCTCCGTGTCGAAATAGCTTGGTAACCTTTCCTATTTTGGTTTCTGCGACGTTATCAAGGGTCGGGGGTCTTCAAGCTCAATAATTTTTCTGAGATTTAGCCATCTGTAAATATCGCTTCAAGTGCGCTTGACAAGAGGTATGGTTAACGAAAAGGAAGAAAAGCTTGCGAGGATCAAAGAGTGGAGGAGGAAAAAGCAGGAAAAGAATAGGCTAAGGAATCTAAAATATAATGAAAAGAATCGCAAAAAGAGAGCTGAATTTCCAAGAGAAAAATGGTGATGTGATCTTCAAGTTGTAAAAAGAGGCAGAAAGTCAGTTTTTAGAGTGCCAGTTGATCTCACTGAGGAGATACTAGCCTCCATGTAATACAAAATGTTATTATTTCTACATTTTACTGTGTCAGTGAACTCGAAATGGATTATTTGTGAAAAAGACCACACCCACAAGGGATTATGGGTAAATACAAATTTGAATCAAATGTGACAAAAATAAAATAGTTTGAAATAAATCAGTTGTAATAGTAAATGTGAATTTAAAACAGACCTAAAGAAGTGATTTTGTCCCAAACTAGCAATTTTCACATTTTTCATACATGTTACAGAAGTGGGTATGGTGATTGTGCTACTCATCAGTACACTTGTGTGCTGTTGTTGTTATTGAAAGGTAACTAGGGTATTATTTGAACATCTCATACTTGAAAATATAACAGTACAAGTTAACGTATAATTTTGATGAAGTGGCTAGTTTGTAAGGGTGACTGTAGTCCTGAGAAGGATTATTATTGATAGTTAGCACTGATGTTTCAACAACCTTGGGAAAGTGATTGTCAGATTTCAGTGATGAGTTGTTTGGCAAGTATTTTAATTTGGGTTTCTACAGTGTGTACCAAAAAGTATATTTTTTGGTGAAGAAATTCTAGCAAAACAATAACTGATTTTGATAACTTTCAATACCTATTCCTGAAAATATACACTAATTATACATAAATTAGGACCCTCTTTTGTCACATGCTTAGCTGCGAGGCAATTGTATCTTTTCTTGAGTATATGAAACCGTTGTATTTAGAATGTGTACATCTTAGTAAGATGTATTTTACATTTGTGTATTTGATGTGTACATAGTGCTTCTTAGGCATAGTGAACTGGATTGACATTTTTATACCTAGAATTGTATTAAATAATTAGGTGCAATATTTTAGAAGGCTTACCATTTTGATGACATAAGATGTAGCAAATACCAATACATGTATGGGCCAGACAATCAAAAATGAGTGGATAAACCTAGATTTGGATTTGCAGTCATTTGCAATCAGGGGCAATGCTTTTGCAGGAAAGATGTTAGGTGAATTGAGGGAGGTTTGGGTTAATTGTTAAATTCATGTTTCTTTTACAGGAGAGGGAAACTGGAGCAAAGAGAGGGCTACAAAAACCAGTTTGGGTCGTGAGTTCTCTAAATGCCAACCACAACAGCCTTCAGGTTTTAATAGAGGATATTGAAGATGCAACATTGAGAATTCAAAAAAGGTGGTCATGGTTTGGAAGATGGTGCACATGTGCAGGTGGATTGGTGAGCAGCTGAGTAACTTTCCTTTTAAAAAGAGTCAGTCATCAATGGACAGGTTGTATCAGTTATTTTGGTAGTAACGATTAAAAATTGCATCAAAAGGTTTTGCTTTGAAACTCAGTAAATGGTGAACATAAGAAGTACCTCAGGAACCTTATTGAAGTGAGGAGAACAAATCAATTGGCACAAGAAAACTATCTACTGTGCATAGAAATTCTTATTCCTTTGTGGTTTTGTGGTTTGCTTGATTACCGGTAGGTGTTTAGGGTTCTTCGAAATTGTCAAAAAGAGTAAAAGATTGCATGATGTATTGTTAGTCTACATTGGATCTCATCAAATAGCTGTGTTGGTGAATGTTGTCAAGAAACTTTGCTGTGTGATGTTTTTGACAAAGAATTTGTTTATACGAAAAAGGTGATCTTTTACAAATCGAACATTAAGCAAAATGGTGAATAAAATGTTTTCGAAAAAAATCAGCACAAGAATAATTAAGAGAAAACTTGCATAAAAAACAAAATGTTAGAATGCTTGTTTTCAATGAAATGTCTCATGATAAGGGTCTTTTCTGTTTAATTTTTATGTTGACAATTAATAGTTTTTGTTTTGGTAGGATGACCAAGATTCTGGTGAAATTTGTGCAAATTGTGTCAAGTACAAGTACTGGTAAGTTTTCAGTTGTTAAAAGAAAGGCATGAAAAATAGAAAAAAAAATTGTTCTGTAATTTATTAGCCAGCTCGCTAGACCTCATTTGAAGAGGTCTTAGTTTGAGCCCCACCTAGGTCAATATATTATGTGCTAGGGATAGGTACTTAGTCCTGCAGTGCCTTTCTCCATGCAGGATTTTGAATGAATACTGGTGAACTCACACTAAAACCTGACAAATAGACTAACATCCCATCTGGTAGGGTAAGCAGTACTCCCAACTCAGTTCATGCTAATTGGACACCCCAGTAAGCTTCTATGATGTGGGATGATTGGCTTGAATGAGGGCGACTTTTCAGATGCTAAAATATAAGTACATGTATTTCTGTTGTTGTTTGTCCGAGATTGTTAATTTGGTACATCTACATTTCGAATGTCCAAAGGAGGGCTAATAACCTTATCCAGAAAAAATGACAAACTGTATGGTTATTGAGCTTATTAGATTTGGAACCCCTTTTCCCTTATTAAAACAAGGAAAGGGCATTTTTTGAGATCCAAAATAACTTCATTTCAATAGACACTTATGGATAAAATCATTCTCTGAGCAAAATCTCATCTTTGTCAGACTTCTACATAAACAAAAGTGCTGGTCTCTTAGTTGATGCATAATGTGCATATATACAGGTTGGTGGATGAAAACTTGAAACAGCTTTGAATCATGCATTATGGTTTCAAAACTTGATTACGACAATGACCAACATACTAAAAGTTGAAAATTTTATTCATTGACTGGTAATATGACAGGCTTCAATTTTTAACAATGCAAATTACTTTAGTGCAACCGCAAACAGTAACGTTCATGTCATCTTCCATTTATTCACGTGGTTTTACGTTTCCTAGTTGTATTTTTACTTTATTTGATTTGCCTTTCTTCCAGGGGACCTAGCAGAGTTAGACCACAGATTGACCATGATGAGTGCTGCATATGCCTGGAGGTAATTTCTTAGTTATCAATAAGCATAGATGAATGATGTTTGAACTGAGAGAACATATTAGGTCCTTGCTCTCTGACTATCAACTACAACTACAAGAATTGTTATTGGTCTCTTTTTTGTCCCCTTCCGGCAGTTTGAGTAGGCATGGTTCAACTTTATTTAATGTCTAATCATTCATCTTAGTTTCAGGATGAAGTAGTTTAACTCCTAAGATCAAAATATAAATTATCCACACTGTTTGCCATAGAACTCTGTAAATATAAGCTTTCAGATAATGTCATGTTTGATTAAAAAATTTATTTGTTGATATTCTACTTTCCCTTTCCACCTTGGACGTGTAACAGTACGAGGATTACTGTAAGTGTAACAATGTACTCTTTCCAAAGTAATTTATCGAAATCACTTTCACACAGGCTGTGTTCTCTGACCACTTGAACACCTTCTGATTTTTTTTTGTTATTTGCCTAGACGACATGTAAATGTAACACTTAGGATTCTGACATACTATGTGTAACTCTTCTAACCCCCACATGTATATTTACCAGAAAACTTGTTTATACTTTACTTTTATCCCTTATTTCTTGGGTATCTGATAACACTGATTCAATCCTAACTTCAGCATAATAACTTTTCATTTTTGGTTACTTGTAGGCTGCTTTCAGTGGATGTCAGATTTTACCCTGCTCACACAAGGTTCATCGAGAATGTGCAATAGCTATGATACAGAATGGAATGTAAGCACTTCTTCAATATTCCTTCTTCACTTCTTTGCCTTGTTTGTTTATTTGTATGTTGTTGTGCTAGACTCCACTTGTTAGTCATCACTTTCCCAGAGAAAACAACGCATACATGAATATCCAAAGTTGAAAACTCTGAGAAGCATCTACCTCTCACACACTACTGTGACCAGACTATTTGTTATCTTTGGAAATTCTCAGAACTACTGGGATAAACCTCCTTTTGCGCAACCACTTAAGGTAATGCAAGCTCACTAAGAAGTGTCAGTTGGGTAACAAGCCTTGCATTTTACTTGTTACACTTTTCCCTCAGGAAGTGGCAATCGGTCCTCTACCTGGTTGTATTAAGGCTTCTCTGGCTTCTGAATGCTTTTCTGTGTTGTTGCTAGTGAGGAACCCATTCCACAAGTTGCTCCCTTGCACATGTAGGGAATCAGTTTCTGCTATAGGTCGTATAACTTGTTAGTTAACCACAGGTAGCAAAAAAAAATCTGTATGTACGTCAATGATTAGTAACTGTATGTTTCTTATGTTTCTTGTTTTAGTCGCACATGTCCAGTATGCAGACACCCATTATACAGCCCAGCTCCCGAGTGAAAATTGCTGCATTTTACGATGTTGCGATTTAGACATAAGTGAAGATCCATTGTACAAGAGAAAAAGATAGTAGTTCAAAGAGGGCTCCTTGATTGGTTGTTACCCATCTGGACTTTGCCCTCTGCAGGTTTTTTACAAGGAATTAAGAGCAACTCCATGCAAATATCGACCAAAGTGCGGCAAGGCTCAAACAATCAAAATCGCTCTTCTTTTGCATACTGGTAGACTTTAGTTAGTGTACAAACGCCATGTAATTTTTTCTTTGAAAGATCCGCTCCTTTCCGAGAAAAACGTGGAAAACCGTTTCAAGCCCCGCCGACGATTTTGCAAGCCAAAAGCAGGGTTGAAATTCACTACGATTCGCTTGACTCGCGTTTCAAAACAACCGCGCTAGAAAAAAGATATATTGCTAAAATTTTAAGTATAACTCGTCGTTGGCCCAGATATATAATATTT